TTATCTTTATATTGTAACTATATATCTTGTTTCTTCAATTTCCGAGCAATTGGTGTTAATAAAATGAATAATAAAACTGTCTTTCATACTGAATTTTTAGGTTTGTATAGCTGACATAAACACAGACAAGGCGAATGCAACTGTTAATAATTTTAAACAGAAATATGGTAACGATAAAGTTTTCTGTGTAAAAATGGATGTCACCAACCCTCAAGAGTTCGAAGGTGAGAAAAACAGATAAATTGTTTACATTTGATGCCGTGAAATACTGATTACTTTATAAGCCATTTAGTGACCCAAAGAAAAAATCCAAAATCTTCCACAGTTGCTGTGCATCATGTCTTTACTAAACAGATTATATTTTCTGAACTGTAACCAAAGAGCAAGAAACGATGCTTGTGTCGTGATTTACTTTGAATGACACAACATTTGGTCATTAATATACCCATGAAACATATTATCCATGCCGAGTTGACATTCTTCATTCCTAGTTATTTAGTTGTGGATAGAGACTGTCTTGACTGACAAGATATGTCATTTTACTGATGTACAAGATTAAAATATAATATTTAGATGGATTTAATGAGGCCATATCAAGATTTGGTAATATAGATATTATGATCAATAATGCTGGTATTGTAGATGAAAGTCAATTTGCACATGTGATTGATATCAATTATGTAAGTAGCTATATATGGTATACAAGGGTATGTATTCAACTGATTCTATGCCTATATTCCAAACGATCATGGCGTGTTTTTAAAAGAGCCAGATGTAGCGATTTGATCTGTAAAGACCTTTTAAAGTTTGAGAGCTGTAGTTATGAAAAAACGAAATAAAAAATTTGGAAGAAATTTTACAGGACTAATTTGCGAAATGCATACGAGTGTTGACTCATCCTTCACTTAACACAATTCACTTTTTACAGTCTACAAGCTGCTATTTTGGATTATCTGTCATCTTTGTGCAGATTCTATGCTTTACACGATCACGCCTTTATTTCATTTCAGACTTCGGTGGTAAGGGGGACAAATTTGGCTATAGCTCATATGAATAAATTAAATGGTGGCAAAGGAGGTACAATTGTTAATATGGGGTCTACGGTTGGTAAGTTTTAAAGACTAATCTATTTGCTTCATTCTTTATCTAATGGGTTTAATAAAAGGGAATCTTGAAGAATGTGATTCAAAATACTTATTTAATTTAAATTAATACGTTTTGTTGAATAGCTGTTCTGTATACCGAATTTTGTTCAAATAATTCCGTTTTCATGTTGACGTATATTGCCGACACTCACTCATTTGCGTCATGCCGTCGGTCCGTTCACGCCCTGAAATTGGTGGATACCAAACTATCTCGCGAAAGTGGTTATTGAAGGTCTTTGTATCCTTCGGTGATGAGTTTGTGTAAATGGTATTATTTCGGACCAATCAATGTATCAATAGTGTAGTCCACGAAAATGTTGTGCGCGATGGCTTGTTTCTCTTAGATATTGTGTAATTTTAGCATGAGTAAGGACTACTATTACAGATTTTTATACAACATGGTGAATACATTTCCTCCTCTTCCAACCCACACCTAAGTGGTCGTATTTCTACGTGTCCCACTATTTTTAATTATTGTAATGTGACTATAGGGAATAAACAGATATTTTGTAAACATGTTGAAATGCCTGGAGCCATACAATTAGTATTATACGTTATGTTATTAACTATGTAGATTAAAATTTGAATTACGTTTCTGATTAAGCAGACAACAAATTTAAATTGAATCTTAAATATCACTTACCTAAAAGAGGATCCCTATTTAATAAGACTCGATTACCAGGTTATATTAACTTTTATTCGATCTGGATGTCCGACAAATTTATTGTAGAAAATCAATGTTTGAAGAAGATAAACAATCCGCTATAAAGATACAAGTTTCTGTCCTTTTCTTGGACACTTCGTTATTGAAGAACTTGTATCAGTTATCAGACTAGAGTTTAAAATTCAATGAAATATTATTGGTGTCTAAAACTATTTCATTCCGAATAGATAAATCAGCTAGCTATTATCAATTGATTATGTTTTGCTTTGAACGAGTCAAGGTTTACAATGCTAAACGTCAAAATAATAGAAATGATAGTAATAGGGATATTGTGACGGTCTAGCACTGTCACGGAACGACAGAATGTGCTTCATATTCCCACTTATTTGAAACAATCAACCCTGCTGTACCGTTTTCGGAATATATATGTACAGTTTTTATGTTTGTACGTAATGTGTTATAATGTATTCTAGCTTTTGAACCAGGCCATATATTTCCTGTTTATTCTGGAACTAAAACTGCTGTAGTTGGATATACTACAAGTTGGGCTGTAAGTTGACAGTTTTTACATGTACAACTTACAGAGTTTTTCATATATATATATCAATATGACACTAAAAATATGGATACGCTTTCTCATATTATTAGCTCAGGAACAGAGTATAATTGAGAACTCGATGGATTCGATTCTTCCACGCTAAAAATATATTGTAATATGTACAAAATTTAAAAAAAAAAGCAAAACTTTTGTGTGTGTATGCAAAGAAATTCTTAGAGTATCAGACTACGTTTCGTGGAACATGGATAAACTGATGATAAGATAGCATGATAATTGTTTCTACAATACATAAGGGTGTCGAGTTAAGTCTGTATGTCAATAATCTTTATACGTAATCATACATAATTGTTTTCTGCACTTTCCAGGCGAATCCAACTGTCAAAGAAATGGGCATCAGCTTTTCGTGTATTTGTCCACACGCTACAGATACCATGATGTTAGACAATATATTACCACACCATGCAGTTAATATGCCAGAAAACCTCAAGGGTATACTTGCCGATACTGTTGGAATTTGTCCGTACGTTAATTCAATTTTCTACTTGCATATTTCATTACTAATGATATCTGAACAATCTCGTTACGTTTATGTGTCAAATCAACAAATTAAAACTGACGATATTTGCTGAAGCTCACTTACGGAGCTTATGGTATTAAGAGTCTTGTCAAGAGTTTCACCGACCGGCTGTAGGCGCAAAAGGAGAGAGAAAAATCTCCTGTCGGACGTTTTTCACTATGTCGATATCACGTGATGATCATGTGACGGAAGTGAAAATGGCAGCTGTTATAAACTAACAGCTTTAACCTGTACAGTGGTTCTTATACGACATCATTTGTTATCGAAATGTCCCTTCCTTTTTGTGGTACTTTGCTGAAAGCAATTGACAATGAAGTTGGGAATGTTGTTGTTTTCACATTTTCTCAGCAATTTTTTTCTTTCCCAAGTCGTAAATTCGAAGATATTTTCCAACTCCAATTAGAGCACGTCCTTGAATGAAGTAATAGCACCAGGTACTTCTTCAACAGATGTTTTATGTAAGAAAGTTAATTTATTTCCATTGTCCATTGTCCATTGTCCATTGTCCCAGTTTGTTATCGTAATGTCCCCTTCCTGAGCCTAGACTTCAGTAGTTGCAGCAACCATTCAACTTCTCTAGACCTTCTGCAGTGGCAACGTGTTCCTTGAATATATATTGGAAAATTTTTGCAAAACCTGAAGTGCCACAGTTCAACATGTGCAAAAAGTCGAAAATCGGCTCCAAAAGGCGCATTTTTGCGTCGATTTTCTGTGGACTTTCATTTTTAGAATGTGTCTGTAATTTCTGATCTGATAGCAATTGCAGAATTACGAAATTCGAAAATTTGTCGCTCACTTTTTTCGATCAAATTTTGCATTATTTTTGCAACTTTTTTTGTTTTTGCATCGAATTTACTTCCGGTTTTAAACGAGGAATCAATTGAAAGTACAATCCACTTCCGGTCCTATAACTTCCGATGTAATTGAAATAGGTCAACGGAATTTATGCTGATCGTAAGTAAATGCTATTACAAAAAAACGAAGAAAAAAAAATACAGTGAAGTTATACTTCGGCCGCCATATTGAAAAAACACACTTTTGTAAAACTCAAAATGGGGCCTCAGGGTAAATGTTGATTTGCTCAAATTTGATGTGTATGTATTAAAAAATGTTGCGAGCCGAATTTTGAATTTCGCTTTTGCTTTTTTGCAACTTGCGGTTGAAATTTTTTCAACTTTTTAACGCTCATACCACGTGACCTTGACCTTTGATGACCTTGACCTTTATATGGTCAAAGGTCATTGACCTTGGCTATCAGTTGAAACTGTTGACCTCCGACATGTACTTCAAGTTTTATAGCTGTCCGAAAACAGCACGTGACATAATTAACTTAGAGGGTTAATTTTTCGATTTCCTTATGTGCTTCTCATGCACTTTACATTGATATATAACAATCGTTTTTTTTAAAGAAAAATTGAAATCCGTGATTTTTTTCAAATTTGAGAGTTTTTTTTAACAATATTTGTGTCTCTTTGAGCTTGGTGTATGTATACCTTATGACCTATTTGATGTAGAACCTTGAAATTTGGAATACAACTAGACACTTTGAATATGAATTCACCTATGACAAAAAAATGAATGTGGGCATGGCACATCCGGGTTGAAATACCAATTGTTAACATTTAGGGGCAGGGGCAGGAGCATAAATCGCATAGGATACGTTTGTTCAAAAAGGGACTTTGCACACAATTCCCCCCATCCTTTTGACCAGTTTGTGTTAACAGCTCAATTGTTTCAGCTTTATAGTTCCAAAAAAGGAACGGGTTTTAAAATTTGGATATTTTCATTTTTCGATTTTATCTTTTTTTTACTTTTGTTGACCTATATCTTTTGACCTGTATGATGCAGAAGCTTGAAATTTGATACACGACATAACATTTTAAATACCGGTTAACTTATGTCAAATAAATGAAATGGTCGTGGCACATCCGGGTTAAATTAGTCATTTGCATAATTCGCAAAGAATACATTTGTAAAAAATGGAACTTTGAAAACAATTACTTCATGTTTTGAGCCACTTTGTCTTAGAAGGTCGGTTGTTTCAGCTTCATAGTTCTAAAAAAGGAACAGGTTTTGGAAATTCAAAATTTTTAATTTTTGACCTTGACCTTTGTTGACCTTGACCTTTGTAAGATTAAATGTCATTGGCATTGGCTATCTATTTATACTTTTATATTTGCTGTCCTATGTCAACTTCCGGTTTTATAGCCGTGTGCAATTTGAAATTTTGATGACTTATATCTCTTGATCTTGACCTTTTTAGACCTTCTCCTTTACTAGATCAAAGTTCATTGACCATGGCTACCTGCTAATACTTTCATTTGTGAGGTCTGGCGTCTACTTCTGGTATTGGAATCTTCTAAATAATTAAAATTTCTCAACTTTAGACTGTTCTTCCACTTGACCTAATTATCGTCGAAGGTTGATTTTTTCAGGGTCTTTAGCAAATTGCTTCATTTGCAAAATTCCACTCTGTGCCACGTGTGGCTCTAGTTTATTTTGATTTTGAATTAAAAAAACTGGAATATTATTATAAAAAATAATTTTGAATTAAAAACTTGTATTTTCACCGGGGTGAAAATTCTAGAATTTTGAATAAAAACTTGAATTTCCAGATAATTCTAGAATTTTGAATTAATTTTCACCCGGGTGGAAATTCAAGTTTTTAATTCTAGATTAAGTTTTATAATTATATTCCAGTTTTTTTAATTCAAAATTAAAAAAAAAAATGATGTCGTATACGAACCACCGTAAACCTGAGGTAAATAAGTATATGCCTTGATTGGATAATCACGCTCTATGATATCCTGTGTAGTTGTGAGCGTGGGCACATGAAAAGAGAGGAAAAAACGTCGACAAATATGGAAGTTGAAAAGTGAAAAGTTGTCACAAATCCTGTCGGCAAAGCGATAATATGGTTGTGGATAAGCGGGTACACGGAAGATTTTACACAAGATTAGTGATCAGGTTCCCCCACCCAGACATACCTTCACAATGGCCAATGAACTTACTTTAATCCAGAGAACAACTCGTGCCATCATGCGCTTGTCGGACACAGCACTTAGCTAATAATTGTTTTGATATCTTTTCCCTGTTTAAGTTATGCACATAAAAGTTATCCACAACAATTAACATTACAAAATGCTAATATATCATATTCTAATTTTTCGTCTTACTAGCACAGCGTTAATTTTTTTTTGTTATTATCTATATATGCATCTGCCGTTGATCGTGTATTTACATGTTTTTCTGTTTATTTCAGCATCAGTCTACTAGCGGAAGCTTTAACAACGCTATTGGGGAAGGAAAATAACAATGGCATTTTACTGTTCGTTAACAAATTTCGAGGAATTCAATTTGTAACAAGACACTATAATCCCAATGAATAAATTAATTTTATTTTCCGCATCTTTACGACACTTTGGAAACTCATCTGTTGAAGACTACATCATGTTGGTGCTATTAACCTTTCACTAGTCTACGACACATTTCCACTCGACATTAATTTAGTTGCAGAGCATGTTCATCATCTTCACTATGTAAAAGTATTACGGAATTCTTACTTTCACTTTGACTGCAATTCTTGTATCACAGAATGCAGCGATTTGATTGGATTGTACGCCAGTGAATACAGCCAATCAGATCCATCGAAAGAAAAGCTGTAAAAATTATGACTTTCTGTATACGCTAGCATACAATCCAATCAATTCGCCTCATTTGACAAACATCCACTATACAAGAAAGATGACTATAACACTATTTCGCCCCTTCGCAGCCCCAGACAATCTCAGTTATTTTGGCCTTACAGATATGGAATTGATAATAGAACTCCACGCTTTCGATTTAAAATTAAGTTCAATCTGATATGATAAAGACTTTCAGTTTTTATTTAATTTCAAAAAGCTAGAAATATAAAGTTAAATAGATTATCACGCATATTAGGTTCCTTATTCATGAAATGAAGCATTTTCATTCACTTGATAGAGAGCACTCGTACTTATATTCTGTCTGGAGCAGTGTAGCGATCTTGTATTCTGTTTCCCTTTTTAGAGTGATGTACGATTTAAGATAGCTAACGATGGACAATCGGAAATGTAGAAAAAGGTTGTAGGAGCACAATATCATTGGAGTCATTTGAATTTACTGAATAAAGATCTGTGAATGTCATCACGGTTACTAAAATAGAATACAACCTAAAAAATAAAACGAGTCTAAAACCACTGAATACCGGTGACAACAAAAATAATGTTAAAACTACATGAATAACCATGGTCGAATGCCAGTGATAAATTAAATAACCTCAAATAAACAATGCAAAACAAACAAAAGTTTCGGAGAAAAAACAAACAAAGACATGTTCAATATTTTTCTTGTAATAATGAACAATTTTCATAATCTACATCTAATACTTCATGAACAGGCCCGTAGCCTGAACAAAACTCCTGGGTGGGCAAACGTGCAATCGAGGGGGGCAATTTAGCAAAGCACCTTGACAGACAATTAAACGCCGGGAAACTGACTTTCATGGAGTATTTTAGATTCGAGATTATTTTTGTTAAAACACACAAGTTATAATACGTTACATTTTTATTGCCGTTTTAGTTTAAACGTAGTCGGTATGTTTTAAGGCAAAACGTTGAACAAATACGTCTAAGTTAATTTTCTGGGTACGCTTCCTGTGGAAGGCAAGAAGAATAGATCGTCGTTGTGGTGAGTCAACGCGAGTAAGAGTTGAAAAGCTGCTTTCACACACAGCGGTACTCAAACCGAATGTGGCAATGCTTGCAGCCAGTACATATAATTTAGGGAAAGCCAATTTCACTGACACTGAATACTCCAGCCATGGAAATCGATAATACCAGCTGTTACTAAAATGGCGACCAGACTTCGCTGGAAATTTTATTCTCGGTTGCTTTGGAACGTCTTCTTTTCCAATGTCACCTGGTACTCCTGTCTTTTCAGAGCACCTTGGTACTGCATCCGTTGTGTTGCCCGCTGTGGTTTTGATACCAGTGTCAGTCGTAGTAGTGTCGGAACCATCAAGCAATTTGTCTTTTTTGATCAAATATTTATCCATTTTTCCTACGTTTGGTTGTTTGATTCATATGAATACAATTTAGGATAATATATGTCTATTAGTTAGTATTTATAATCAACCAATCAAATCTTTTGAATTTTGAGACGGGACAGATTACAATCCAGTATCAGACCAATAATTTTGTTACCAATGACGCTTTAGTTCAAACTTTTTATGATTTTCAACGAACTCAATTGTATGAAATTATCTATTCTAATGTAATTAAATTTAAAAATGTTATTAAAAGCTATGATGTCTGGTTTCATCCTCAGCTAAGTATAAACAGAAAGATATTTAAAAACAATTCTAGGCCTACAGATAGGAATACTTAGTATTTTTTTTGAACCATTTCGCATAACGCTGCCCTTAAAGCCATAACCTTATTTTTCGTTACGTATAATCAAAATATCGAAATACTCATCATATGATCGACAATGCAAGAGCAGCTGACTGGTGCACTTACTCCACCATAAAATGCCTGACCAGATTGACCACTGTTTGCTATTCACTCAGACTCAGTTATCTGCCGCTCCTAA